TTATTCACTTTTCTTATTCGTTATTTTTATTTACTTTTTTGTTATTTTATTTACTTTTCTTATTTATTATATTTATTTATTTTTCTTGGTCATTATTTTTGAGAGAATTTTATAAATTAAGATAAACAAAAGAACATTATTAGGAATGCAAAATAAAACTCTGATAATACATACAACATACAAAAGGGGTAATAAACAATTGTTTACTTTGACAGATGTCTCTGCAGGTGATCTCATGTAATAAAAAAGAATAAGAGTACGACCAACAAACCAATACCGATATCTTCTAAACTTTCAAAGAATTACAAATTTATTTAACTTAAAATATTGGCACATTCAAAGTACATTTAAATTTGACTCCTGTCACTAAACCTCATTTGCAATTTTCGATTACCAGAGTTAGTGTTGACCAAAAGAGTTTAAGTTTATTGCAAGATTCTTTAAAATTATACTGTTTAACAATTTGCTGTATAAAATTAGAGTGTCATCCACCTTTGATCGCCATTTCCTTTTACTAGAAATTTAAAGGCATGGACAAGATAGTGCAGACCAATAAAAGTATAAGAGTATTTAACTTTATGTTGCTTACTAATTGACTAATATACGTATAGTGCACTGCGCAAAGCATATTTAACATTCAAGTTTCATTCATCTTTTGTATTCTCCTTACTAGATATTAACCAATAAAAGAGTGTTTCCCTATTTGTAACCTTACGCCGTTTAATATCTAATATCTATACACAACTTAGCTGCTTAAACCTATTTCAAATTTGGCTTATAATTTTATCCTCACAAAATTTGAAAGGTTGAATTTTTACCAAACTTTTCGCATATTGAATACATACTCGTTGCACACATAATGAATCCAATACAAACCAAGGAAAGTGGTGAAGATAGTATTAGTTTAAGAAATGAGCATGTACAATTTTTTTTTGAAAATAATTTAGCTGAGAAGGAACTGTCTTCAATAAGTTCACCTTATAAATCTGAAATCATTGAAGTATCTGATAAGGATTCTTCTGATGGAGAGAATGAGAAATCAGCATTAAAAATTTATCACAGTCAAATGTTTCAAACATGGGATGATGTTGAGATCTTTTTAAAAATATATGGACTGAAACAAGATTTTAGCATTCGAAAAAAATGTAGTAAATCAAGTATTGAGAATGATAATCAAGTTTAAAGTAAAGTTAGCTGGGAATGTAGTTGTGCTGGGAATTACCAGCCCAAAAAGGTTTTAAATCTGGAAGACCAATGGAATCGTAAATCGAAACGCACTGAAGGTGAATGGTGAGTTAACGGGAATATGTCTAAATCAACGTCAATAATTACACTTACAACTGTTATCAATTCACACAACCATCTAATGCCACCTGCACCATCAATAACAATTTCAAACTATCATAAGTTAGGCGAAGATATGCTGGAATTTATAGATTTATGCGTAATACATGGTACAACAGGAGCACAGAACATAGAGCAACTTCTAAAGAGTAAATTTCCAGATCGAACTATACATAAAAAAAATTTATACAATGCAATTCAGAATGCAATAAAGAAGCTTCTATTAAGTAATGAACTGGATGTGTCGAATCTCTTGTTGTTTATGTATAGCTTCAAGACTAATGATCCTAGGTGGTTCATAGAAGCTAGATTTGATGGTCCTGAGCGAAGACTGTATAGCCTTATTTTTCTTTCCCCTGAACAGCAATATATTTGGACAAGATTTCATAATATCATTTTTTTTGATACTACATCACGTACAAACAAATACAACATGGTTGTATGCTTCTTTGTAGCTATTGATAATTACAACCATACTCGTCTGGTCGCTACTGCTTTATTAGAGGATGAAACTGAAGAGAGTTTTACCTGGGCTCTTAATATAATAAATAAGTGTACTGGTAATTTGTCACCATGGGTAATTTATACGGATTCTGACCCGGCTATATCAAATGCAATTTAAACTGTGTTTTCAGAGTCTTTATATTGTTTATGTTTGCTTCATATCAATCTTAATCTAAAAAAAAATTTAAGAAATAAAATGAATATGGTTCAGTTCAATGAATTTCTCAAAGATTTTTACGCATGCAGAAATATGATGGTGATTGATATTTTCGAAAGGAGATTTGAGTCCCTCAAGTCTAACTACACAGTTGCTGCCGGCTATATCAAATGTCAACTTGAGCCTTCCAAAATGAAATGGCCAATTTGTTATATCAACAATCAGTTTACCACGGAGGTGAATAGTACACAACGTGTTGAAAGTTTTAATAGAAAAATCCATGATAGTATCAGAGCGAATTCTTCTTTGATGACTCTTATTAAGAAAATTCAAGATCTTCTCAATCAAGAGTCTCAATATACTTCTGTTGAAGAATATAAACGTCAAATACCAATAGTTGGACTTGCTACTATACCTAAAACTTTTTTTAATTCGTTGAATTCTATTGTAAATGAATATTTAACAGAGCTGGCATCCATTCACGTTCATAAACAAATGCAAGAATGTTTTTTTTATGATGCTTATAAGCTTAATCTTTCTGATTGGAACACAATTGAAAAAGTATGTTATTTGTTCAATTATATTTCATTCTGGACTTCACGACTCATCTATTAAAAATCTGATCAGCGCGTATTATATGTAGCATATAATATGTCGCTGATCAGGTTTTTAGAAGATAAGTCCTGAAGTCCAGAATGAAATATAATTAAAACTTGTTGATAGGTTTTCTCTTCTTAGCACTCATATTGTTTTATTTAAAATCAGAGCTAAATTTTTTTCTTTTATTTAAATGCACTCAGATGACAATGTAAATGACAGAGCACGTGAAGATGATTATGAACTAACACAAGTTTTACTAACAGACATTCTGAAGACAATTGAAAGATCAAAAATTCTTGAAGTTTGGCGGCTTACTTTTTCATGCAGTACAAAATCTCAATTTGTGATTTTAATCTCGGATGGTTCGCACAAATGTATTTGCAACATGTTAGTTATGCATAGTTATCTGTGTCATCATTTCTACAAGATTCTTAGAACTTCTCCATGTGCACAATGGCATAGAGATAACAAGATTGATAATGAACAAGATTTTTTGATACAACATAATCCTATTTCATTATGTGTAGATCCATCTAATGAATACACTGTAACTAGTCATACTTTCAATCATGAACACATAATGCAATTCTGGGGAGGTGAATTATATATACCGGTTCTTCGGAATATAAACAATACTAGGTCCAAATATGGTTATGCATACGGATTAATGAAGAAAGTTATTGATGTTGCTATTAACAGTAATTCATATGACAAATTAATTGGATTATGTCAACAATTTCTTACAAGAAAGCAATTGGTGTTAAATAAAGACAATCAATCTGAAAATATTCCAATTACCAATCCTATTGTTTCAGCAAGAAGAAGAAGGCCTCCTGATAGGGTGAAAAGTAGTGTTGAAGTTCAAGATTCTAATGCAAAAAAACATCGCGGGTTGTCAAATACTAATACTAACATCCAACCACCTGATAATAGAAAGTGATGCCAAAGATGTAGTGAAAAGGGTCATAATCGGGCTACCTGTAAAGCTGAAATTTAGTAATAATTTGTACATAGCTTGCATATTAGAGTTAATTACATAGTTTATAATTTGAATCAGATTATATGTACTTAGCTTAGATCATAAATTTTAATTTGCTTTTGTTATTGCTTCAGAACATTTGATTGTGTTTTTTTATACTTGAATGCTTAATTGTTTATATATACTAACTAAATTAATGTTAAGACTAAGGCTAAATGTAACGTTGACATACTAAAGTCTATACATAATAATAATCAATCCGAAATTGGTAATAGCAATCAGTAAGTATACTTTCACTAGACTTTGGTTGTATATAATATTTATTAACTCATCTAACATTACTAAATTATTTCAATTTACAACTAATTCCATCTATTAATTGAATGATGTATCAAACATCTCTTCTTAAAGGTTAGAGTTAGGGTAAATACTAGCAGTTCTTTTCGTGTTAAGGTAAGGCAGGTTTTAAGTAACTATATTAAAATTGTGAATATTTCGTCCATATCTAATTTGATCTAATCTATATTACCGTATTGTATTACATTTTACTCTTAGGCATCATGTTTTCTGATATATTTAGTTGACCTTCCGTAAGTGCAAATAATTGCAATTTTACTTGCTTATATCATATTTCTATATGTAAGTCATTTTCACTAATAATATGCACTTATAGAAGGTCAACTATACTTCATATTAATCACATATTAATGGCTTTATTTTGTATTGTCATTATATAATGATTATGTTTTACGTATCTGCCAGATGGTCATTTTCTTTCATACAGGCTATGTATCTATGTACACATGATGCCGATTTATTAATTGACGATTCTCCAGTCAACTGAAGAATGATCATAGTGAAACGTGACACAGTTCTATATATAAATTACTAT